AATCCAGCCACACTGAAATTTTTAGAAGAGAAAGCGGGAGATACCCTTCAACGAGTTGGTACAGTAGACCATTTCCTGAACATAACACCGGTGGCACAAACACTGAGATCGACAATTAACAAATGGGACCTCATGAAACTAAAAAGCTTCTGTAAGGCAAAGGATACAGTCAACAAGACAAAAAGGCAGTCCATAGAATGGGAAAAGATATTCACTAACCCCACATCTGACAGAGGGCTAATCTCCAAAATTTACAAAGAACTCAAGAAGCAAGTCTCCAAAACACCAAAGGATCCAATTAAAAGGTGGGGTACAGAACTAAATAGAGAATTCTCAATAGAGGAGGCTAAAATGGCCAAGAGACACTTAAGAAAGAGCTCAACAGCCTTAGCCATCGGGGAAATGCAAATCAAAACAACTCTGAGATACCATCTTACTCCTGTCAGAATGGCTAAAATCAAAAACATGGAAGACAATTTATGCTGGAGAGGATGTGGAGAGAGGGGAACACTCCTCCACTGCTGGTGGGAGTGCCAACTCGTACAGCCACTTTGGAAATCAGTATGGAGATTCCTCAGGAAAATGGGAATTAATCTACCACAAGACCCAGCAATTCCACTCTTAGGTATATATCCAAATGAGGCAAATTCATACAACAAGGGCATCTGTTCCACTATGTTCATAGCAGCATTATTTGTAATAGCCAGAACCTGGAAGCAACCTAGATGCCCCTCAACTGAAGAGTGGATAGAGAAAGGTGGTACATTTACACAATGGAGTATTGCTCAGCAGAAAAAACAATGGAATCTTGAAATTCGCAAGTAAATGGATAGCACTGGAAGAAACCATCCTGAGTGAGGTAACCCAGTCACAAAAAGACAAACATGGTAAGTACTCACTCATATATGGATTTTAGACATGGATCAGGATAGTGCCAGTCTGGACTTCCACTGATAGAGAGTCTGGGAAACAGGAAAGAATCTAAAATATATGCATAGTACCCAAGAGAAGAGGATTGAGACAAGATCCTCTGAATGGATGGGGAACACGACGAAGGGGGGGGGAGTGGGAGCTGTGAAGAAGAGAGGGGAGAAGAGGAAGAGAGATTAGGTCATGGGGGAACAGGAAAGTTGAGTGGGGAGGGGGTAGAATATGGGGAAGAGGGAATCATAGGATCGAATACAGATCAGGCACCAGAGTGACCTCTAGTGATCTAAAGGGATGACACCAATTGGCAAGCTAAGCAATAGTGCAGAGACCACCTCGAATGCCCATTCCTGATAATGAACTTGATGTCTATAACCACCTGGGAGCCTCATCCAGTGACTGATGGAAGCAGAGGCAAACACCCACAATTAAGCACTGAGCTGAACCCAAGGAACCCAGTGACAGAGAGAGAGGAGTGATGAGCAAATTGGCAAAGAATGGGCTGGCAAAACCAGCAGAGACAGCTGATCTGAACAGGGGAGAGCTCTTGGACCCCAGACTGACAGCGGGGAGGCCAGCATGGGACTGCTCTGGACCCCCCCCCCGAATGTGAGTGTCAGTGAGAAGGCCTGGGAAACCTATGGGACCATGAGCAGTGGATCAATGTCTATCCCTGGAATACAAACAGTCATCGTGTGCCCATAGCACAAAGAGGGATGCTCTCTCAGCCTGGACTCTTAGGGGAGTGCCTGGACCCTACCCTGAGTGAAATGACAGACTCTAGATATCCCCTATGTGGAAGCAATTGGCGATAGGGTGGGAGGCTGGGGGGAATGGGGGAGTGCGGGAGGAGGGAAGGGAGAGGGAACTGGGATTGACATGTAAAACAAGCTATTTAAAATTTAAGAAAATTTTTAAAAAAGAATTGTGTTTTCTCCTAAGCACACTTCCAGTGTAAGAGTGGAGACAAGATAAGAAAATTGAATAAAATACTATTTTAGTAAGTGAACCTTGTAGGTATAGAAAAATGTTTTCCTTTCTGCTACTTATACTTTCTATTCTCTTGGTAAGGAAAGAACTAAAAAAAATCCAAACTGCTTCAAATGGAGAAGAAAAAATGCATTACTTTGCAATAACATCGGGCTTGTTCATAATGTCTTGTGGCTAAGCTGTGATTAGGAAATAGGACAGATGCCATTGCAAATGCAGCCTGACCACCTGCTCCAGCATCACCCAGATTCAGAGAACAAAGGGTGAGAGTGTAACATAAGCACTTTCAACACTGACTGGGATGTCCCATGCTTAGCAGAGAACTCACTTCCCATAAGGAGAAGAACAAGGAAGTAACTCAAAGAACAAAGAGAGAACCACTTGAAAGGAAGCAGAATTGAGCAAAGTGTTGGGATTCTTAGTGCATGTGACACATTACAGACCAGAAACATATCTGCAGCTTTGTCTGACTCTGTAGACATTTAAGTAACTCCAGTAAGGGAAAATGTCTGATTTTTCTTACTTGAAACCATTTCAAATCAATCATTTTCCTATTGGTACTGGTCTTGAATTGATTACTTTGCATTTTTGTCTGCATCTACGGGCACTAGAATCATTCATGAGTGATCTGCTCTCCTACCTTAGACACCCCATAGACTATTTGTAACACTGGAAGTTAGAATATCAACATATGAATTTGGGGATAAATTTCAAGGACATGGAATATTTTACAAAACAGTCAATCCATACTAACTCTCTAAATTACAAAACAATGCAAGAACAGATCACAAAATGAAACTAGAGTGAGAAATGACCTAAGCATCTAGATGATTGCACTCTTAAAAGACCAGAGAGGCAGCTATATTTATAAGCCATATTTATTTGAATATATGAGTAAATGTAAGATATATTATTCTAGCCAAATTATAAATAATTTGTTTACATACATTCACACACATATGTTGTGGACAGTGGTAATTTTATATTAGATTACATTCATAAACTTTGGAATGTACTACTACTAATAAGGATATATAAGTATATTAATTACTTTTCCCCAGCCAAAGTACAGATGAAAGGCAAATAAAAAAGTAGAAGTTTACTTTAGTGGATGGTTTCTGCAGGTATGTTCTGCCATTGTGAGGAAGAAATGGTGGGATATGGCTGTGGCAGCGACTCTCAGTGTGGCTTGCCCCAAAGCAGAAAGCTCATGAAGAAACTGGAAGGCATTATATACATGCCAGAGGAGCAGCGGGTGGTAATTGAAGTTCAAGGTGTCAGCCCACCAGGAAGAAACTCTCTAATGGTCAGTCCCTGATAGGCAAGGCCCAGAGACCACAGACTTCTGAATGTCTTTTGCTTCTGCTGTGCCTTTATATGTGTGCTGCTGCCAATTATTTCTGGTATCTGGCATAGTGAGAATGGGTGTGGGGAGATCCCCACTGCCTGTAATGTGGTATGTTTATCTCATTGAAACATCCCATTCTACTGGTTTTGTTTTAACCTGTGGATTATTATGAAGATTATTCCTCCCTAAGCTATACTGTCTAATTGATAATAATGTTAGCTTATACATAGTTTTGATGAATGAAAATAAATACAAGGAATTGTTACACAGCTAGGGCCTATGAGTTTCATGCAAAGAGCTGCATAGATCACAGTCAAGTTAATGATTAAGGAAAACAATTGAGTCCCATGATCCAGGCTGGCTCAAATTCCTTTAATCTTAATGCTGAAAGATGGAGTCACAGATTTCAGTGTGCATCGTTGGATGAAACAAAGCCTTAAAATAACTCCAGGTTATATCAGATGTTTTGATAATAGCTTTAAGAGTGAAAAACCCCAGAAAATAATATAAAGTTCACAAGGACACATAGCTGAATTATAAATTCACTAGGTTAGGGTCAAAAATACAAAGCATCCCAATTGTTTCTAGCTGACATACTTTCCTTGCTAGGTTTGGTTGGTGATTAAAGGTGATGATTAATTCCTTGCACCCATTCCTGCCCTCGATCTCCTGATATAAGAAATTATTGATGAGTGGATATGAACCCTAAAGACTTAAAGTAAAGCTGACTGATTGTTTCTTATGTATAAAAGTTCAGGTTTGTGATTTCTTTAAGACTACTTGTAAGATTAACTTTCAAGATAAATAGTAAAAATGATTGATTCATTTTGTATAACTACAATATGCAGTATGCCAACAGTAGAGTTGGCTGAGAAGAAATACTTCCTGCTTACTCATTTTCTGTTAATCTGTAACAAGCTACTTAGATGTAAATGTATATGGGCTGTTGGGGTGACTTTGTTTTTAATCATGTAAGTGAGATGAAAATTATGTTTTTATCTATATTCATTGTAATGATTCATGTGAAAAATACATTCTAACCACATTGTAATTCATACATTGCTGATAGTGGAAGTCCTTCTGTGTATATGTTTCTTTTATTGGTTGATGAATAAAGTACTGCTGGCCAATAGGGAAGCAAGATAGGTAGGATTAGGAGTCAAGGAGAATTCTGGGACATGTAGTCAAGAGTGGAGAGTCACCATGTGATCCTGGGAGGAGATGACACAAGTGTGGCATTCTTGGTAAGATAAGACCTTAAAATATATATATACATATATACATATATGTATATATATGTACATGTTCAAACATGTAAGCCTGTAGGGGACATATATGTACTCGTGTGTGTGTGTGTGTGTGTGTGTGTGTGTGTGTGTGTGCATGTGTGCATGTATTAGGGGCCAGGTATTCTGATTTCAATCACTTGTCTTCACTGTAACTTTTCACCATATCAATTAAAGTATACACTATGGTATTCTGTGATGCACATGAACATAGAGATTTAAATTGTCTTAGTGATTTAATATGCCTGTTGCCTTACATATTTATGTGTCTTTATATAATCATGAGTAGCTAAATCTACTTATTTAGCAAAATCCCCAAATAAAATGTGTACTGTAGTCTTCACTTCTTGGAAAACTCATTTCACTAACACATTTTTTTCAGTTTACATTCAGAACGTCTTTGACAGTTCAATACCCTGTACATACAATGAATGGAAGATATTCAGGTATTGTTGGCTTAGTAAATGCTTGGGTTTGTTTATTTACAGCAGATCTGATATTCCCACCAAAAACCAGGGCAGCGAACTGTTAATTTCCCAGGGAAACTAGCAATGAGAACACACACACACACACACACACACACACACACACAATTAGAATTGGAATCTTTCACCAGTGGGATTCTGACAGAGATTTTCTGGAACATTTTTTTCTTGGTATACTGGTGGCACCAATGGTCGAAGTAGCATGGGAGGCACTGGTGCCGATTCAGCAGGATTTGGTGGTAGAATTACAACAACCTGTGAAACAAATCAAAATGTCATTGAGTTTCCCAATATACCCAGAACTGCCTTTTCCTTACTCCATGTCACCTTTACCAGTATCTACACTGTTGCTCCTGAGTTGAATCACGCATCACCCTGGTTGGTGTCTCAGGAACTGCTTAGATTAGGTAGTGTACACATAGGATAGTCATTTTAGGGCAGAGTTTGATCAGAGAAGCTGATGTTTGCAGCTCTACTTGGACAATCAGTTTTCCATGTAAATGACTTAAGGGAACCAAGGTGTTATGGGAAATGACAATGGTGTCCTTTCCTACTTTACTCCTGTAGATAGCATCACATCTAGACCTTAATATGACAGCCATGAACAAAGTTCTGCACACTGACTGTGGCCCAGAATGACAGAAGTGTCATAAGACCTGGGAAAATTCTGCCCTTCACAAACTCAAGTGATGCGGGGCAGTGATGGAATGAAGATGTATGCACTTAAGCATCACACGGCCCTAGACCACTGCTCTTGTAGGTTAGCACAGACACTAATCAGAAACAGCACTGGCTGCTTTCTCTACTTGAAGCTCTGAAGCTTTGAGGACACTCCTGGCAAATCATCCACTTGGTCTCCTTCCTGGTCTGTTTCTCCTAACTTCTTCCTTCTCAGTGCTCAAAAACATCGGCCGCAGTCCTTGGGGAAAGACAATGGTCAGACGTGCACAAACTGAGATTTTCTGATAAACAACAGCCCGGTTGACTCCCTGAGCACACATTATACAGGGTTAGCACTCCCTGAGCACACTTTATACAGGACCATAGGGCTTGGAGTGGAGAAAATGGGGCTGGATTTGATCAAAGCACATTAGATACAAATATGGCATTCTCAAACAATAAAAAAGATTATCATGTGAAAGAAACCTGTGTACAGAAGAAGACTGGAAACCCTTCTTCAGCTGGGTTTCACCTAAAGAACAGCGCATGCTTGGTGGGAACAGTTGGCAGTGAAAATGCAGGGTCTGTAACAGTCCTGTAAAGGATACTACATTTTGAGGCTGGATGGCTTCCAGGTTCTTTCTACAGCTCACAAGCCCACTTTTATTCTTAGAATACTTCTCTTAGTAAATTATCTCTATTTCTATTTGTAAGCATGAGTCCCTGGTACAGTCTTTTGCTCTGCAAAACAAGGATCTGGAATTGGGTAACCTCCAAATGCAAATCTGTGGCTTGGAAATCCTAGACATGTTTTCCCAGACACTCTGGGTTTTCTCAATCTTTCTCTCTGTCTGAAGGCTGCATGGATATTCAGACAGTTTTTTACTGTTGTTTTTCCCTCCCTCAAACTGTCATAAAAATGTTCTTGAGCTTCCTATAGAGTTGATTCTAAACTCTTTTTATTAATGAAACTAAGAACCACAAAGGGAACCCCAGTTTCCCTGGTAACATAGCCTTTTGTAACTGAGCAGGGGACCCAGCCAAGCTGTTGATGGTCTTGACTTGAGAAAGCTAAGAGACAATGAGATGTGCCTTTGAAAGCTACTAAATTTGTGTGACTGATTACAGAGCAATAGAAACCTACTAAACATCATCCAACAAGGACTGTTACTCACCTCAATGGAGCTACAACAAGATGCTTTACATCCAAAAGCAGAGATGGACACAGCAATGCAGAATTCTAGCATATTTAAAATGAGCATCAAAGCATCTATACCCTAAAAACAGAGGAATGTGAATAGGGAGTGGAGATGATAAGTTTGAAATATGCCCCCCTTGACTACTGTTCCAAAAGAGGAAAGACCCTGGCCAAAGGTTTGGAAATCCAGCTTTTGATATGGCCCAACACTTAAGATAATTTCCTGGCCTCATGAATGTCATTTATTTTCTCTATTTTTTTACTAATGAAAATTATTAGAGACCCCAGAGTCTGCTATGCCCTGATGTTAGAAATTTCACAAGGAGAAAACAATAATATCATTTCACTTCTGAGGAGAATAGTTTTCCAGGTTGGCTTTCTAACCAAGCCTGGAATAGGGAGATCCTAGTTTGCAGTGGGAATGAAGGCTGTCTATTAGCCAATATGGGCAGACTATTCTGGCATCTGCAGGTTATCCAAGTTATTACAGTATCTTCACAAGCAGAATCAAGATGCTGAAGAATCAAAGTCCAAGTGACTGAGGATACTATAGTGCTAACCTTGAAAATGGAGGACAGAATGATGAGTCAAGGGATGAAGATGGGAGATGGAAATACCAAGGCCGAGAAAATTAACTTTCCCTAAATCTCCCAGGAAGGACAAAAGCCCTGACAAGACTTTGATTTTTATGCAATTGATACTCATTTTTGAACTTCTGTCTTCATGTAATACACCTGGATTCTGCACTAATTTGATAGCAATTGCCACAACTGTGGTAAATGATTGGAGTGTTGGACATCATGTTCTTTAGTATTCAATGTACTTTGTTTGATTCTTCATTAAGCCACAGGATCAAAACAGAGGAACAAAGGTGTCATATTTGTTCGGAATTCTTTTGCCTTGAACTAGTGCCTGGAATTGTTGGGTTTGAATATTCTGTCTTTTCCTCTCAGTGATCAGAAATGTTCTCTCTCCTGTGAATTAATCAGGAGCTTGGCATATTAGAGATACTGATTCAGTGGGCCCTGAGACTATTTGCATTTTTGCTTCTATCCTTGCTCCTGCCTCAACAGATCCAGTAGCCTCTGTGTTTAAGGCATTGTGTGATGGGGGATGTACTTCTGTATATATGCTTCTCTTATTAGACTGATGAATAAAACACTGCTTGGCCAATAGAGGTGGAAAGATCAGTGAGGCAAGGAGATGAGGAGAATTCTGGGAAAGGTAGGCAGGGAAGTGCCAGAAAGGAATACTGTGGAGGGTCAGGGAGGATAGGACACCAAGCCATTCTCTGGTAAGATAAGGCCATGTAGAAATACATAGATTAATAGTTATGGATTAATAATTAAGACAGATTTAGCCAATAAGAAGCCCTAGCCATTAGCCAACAATTTTATAATTAATATATGTCTCTGTGTATTTATTTGGGGGTGAATTGGCTGTGGAACCAGACTAGAAAGAAAAACCAGTAACAATTGTGGCAGACACATGTGGAGAAAAGCAAGTAGAAGAGATGGTAGCCTTGTCCTCAGAAATGTGACAATCTAGACAGACAGATTAAGAGTCTCTTTGAGCATCAGAGAGTACAGAAGTTAGGTCTGTATGCTTCATATTCTCTCTTACAAATATTTAATCACTCTCATATGATCTATAAACAGTCTCACATAACATTTTAATTTACATAAACAAGTACAGACTGGGCCAGATAGCTCACATCTATATCCTCAACACTGAGATGAGATGGTAGCTTTTAATTCAAGGGTAGCCCAGGCTACATAGCAAGAGCCCCCCATCTCCAGAAATATCAAAAAAAAAACACAAACTGAAAACAGCAACATAAACAAAATGAAAGGAAGATTTTTCAACATTAGTAGCAAGTGTAAGTGTTTGTAATATCCTACTTTAAGATGTAGGAATTGTTATTTTTCTATGTCACTTTGGCTGACCATTGGCAATTCCATGTGGCTTGTTCTGATGGTTCCAGGTAACAAGTACACTGTCTGCTCTTTCTTGCAAAGAACTCACTGTTTTAAATCTGTTTTGTAAAATCATAATCTATACAATATATCTTTTCTCCCAAGAGGTTTGGAATTCCCCCTATTAGGATCTTGGTTTTATTTTGGGTATCTGCCAACTCAAGATTTGACACGACATATGGGCCTCTGTGTGTGTGAACTATTAGTGGTTTTCTTTTTACTTAGTTATAAGCAGAAGGGAAATATTGCGAAGTCACCTGATCCCTAAATAGCTGTTCTACCTCCCAATCATTCCCAGCTCCCCAAAGTGTTTTTACAGTCAGAGTGTTGATTGTTGTTTTTGCAGGTATCAGTGAGCCCTTGCCTCCACCTTGCATCCCATCAGCAGAGGAAATACTCACCACAAAAATTTCCCCAAATTTCTCAAATGCATCTATAGTCACACTGAAGACACTGATTATACTCGTTGCTGCAGCCACCACAGAGCTAATGGTGTTCAAACTTAGACTGCTGGTGACCTAGAAAGGCATAAGAATCAGTTCATTCAATAGCATCCTTGGTATATAGCTCCATCGATACTTGAAACACACCATGACTTTATTAATGAAATTCATCCTCTTTTTGTCAAAAGTAAAATCTGTGTCTTTCAGTATAGTATATTTGCTTTCAATCCCTTGCCAAAGTAAAAACATTATATGGTTATTCCTAAGACTAAATCTCCCAGACAATTCTCAAGGACATAAGATGCTCTTCAAATTTCCTAGTGAAAATTTCAGTCTTTGACACATTTTCTGGAAAGCCCCATCTGTCATTTCTCACCACACTCTGCTACAAATGCCTGACTGTTCTCCTTGTGTAATACTGATAGTCACTCATGGCCATGTCCTTCTTGCATATTTCCTCCTATATTGTAGATTTGGCCCCACAATTCTCTTCCCGTGGTTCAGTAAAACAAGCTTTACTGTGAGAAGTAAAACCACTTAGGAAACTGAAACTTGCTGTCCCTAATATGAAGTACATTTTAATGGTCAAGGCTGGTTAAAGATGCTAAGGAGGTAGATAGAAGTTCAGGTATAGAAAGGTCACTTGATCATGTTATAGAAGTTGATGTTTACTTGCTGCAGGAAGGGAAATTCAAATTCAGCTTTTAGCTAGTGAAATAATTGTTGAAATCCTGGCTATTGCATTTTATCCATTTTTGACAGAAATCTCATTATAAATGTTTTTTAAAAAACATTTATTGTTTTATGTGTGTAAATGCTTTGTCTGCATTTATATATATGTCTGGTGCCCACATAAGTCAGAAGAAGGCTTCAGATTCCCTGGAATTGGATATCTATGTGCCATCATGTAGATGCTTGGAATCAAATCCAGGTCCTCTGTAAGAGCAGTAAGTTCTCTTAATCACTGAGATATATCTATGCCCTCTGTAATTAAAAAACAACTATTATTTTGGATACATTTGTAGAAGTCATTTTAACCTGTCAGTTAGTGATATTTTTGCTCCTGAAGATATTTGGTGTCATAGTCACATGATGGATCTGAAGCTTCAAGGTTCACCTGTCTAACACAACTTGACATTCCTTCTCCAGAACTCACTTCACCAGAACCAAGATTCTCCCAGCAACTGCCTTGACACAATATCCACTCAGATGTAGCTCAGCTACTCCTTTGTAAGTCGGATCCTTATAAAACGCACAGCCTTGGCCTTAAAGAAATTAGAAGCAACCTCTTTACGTCTTAGAAGAATTAATACTTGATGAAATCATTCTCATTTTATGGCAAAATATAACAAAATACATACCAGACTCTCTGTAGTTCTCACTGCTGCTGCAATTGATAAGGATCCTGAGAGTAGGAACTGGTCATAAGAAGAAAAATTTGGGTTGAATATCTTTAAATAATTATTATAAATTATAGCATACCAAGCTTGCTTCTAAATCAACTAGTGATAAATTGTCCTAAAAGCAACTTTATTTGTCACATACTTTCCTCTTAAAGAACAAAGGAGTGAAATCAATGGTAGAATCATCAAGGTTTCTTTTTTAATTACACAACTATCATCCTATCAAAATTATTTACAAAATTATTTAAGAGCAATCCTTATAACTCCCAAACAAAACAGAACAAGATTATTCATGTTGAAAATACGCATTGGACTCATCCTTCTTCCTCAGATGTGTCATTTGTCTAGCGATCTCTGGATTCCTAAGTTGGATGTATTTGCTCTCCTAAAAAGATAAAAAACAAAAAATCTTGTCCCAGCAGTAACTTTGGGGAGTTCTTTGTTAGGCAGGTTCCCTTGTTCAGGCAAAATGGTTTTTTTTCGTTGTTGTTGTTGTTTTGGCAACAAAAAGAGTATTGTATTCTAATTAAATATTTTGAAATTAAATGTACCTTGGTACTTGAGAATAAAAAAAAGAAAATATGCATTGGAAGCTATAAATAAAATAATGGCAAAATTAAATTCTATATTAGATAGTCACTAGAATATTGAAGCTCATTTGAGTCTATCAATTTGGCAATTATTTTCAATTTCTTCTAAATGACTGCTGTCAACTTGATTGAATTGACCTTTTTAAACTATTTAGTTAAATACACATATGTCTGCATTTGCTTTTCGAATTTTTGTTTATATCTAAAAGTCAATGGGAGTATCAGTAGATTCACATCATTGAAATGAAAATCAAGATACAAATTCAAAGCTGGGGAGATGGCTATCAGCCAAGTGTTTCCCATGCAGGCCTGAAACCTTACAAAAAATTGAGCCCTGGGGTTCGATCTTCCATCATGAACTATGGAAGTTGGTTTTCAAATAGAACAAAGGGGTCAAGACCACGCTGGGAAAGCCCACAGAAACGGCTGACCTGATCAAGTGGGAACTCATGGACCCCAGTCTGACAGCTGGGGAACCAATATAGGACGAAACCAGTCCCCCATCTTCCCCACCCCAAATGTGGGTGTCAGCTAGGAAAACTGAGCAGTCTACGGCGTCTCTGGCAGTGGAATCAGGAAGTATGCCTACTGCAAGGACAGGCTTTGCGATCCCATTTCTCATGGAGGGACGCTCTCTTATCCTAGATACGTAGGGGAGGAACTAGGCCTTGCCCCAAATGACTTGACAAATTTTGATGATCCCTCATGGAAGGCCTTACCCTCCCTGGGGAGAGGATGGGAGATGGGATGGCAGGGTTGGTGGGGTCATGGGAGGATGTGAAGGAGAGGGAACTGGGATTGATATGTAAAATAAGATTATTTCTAATTTAAATAAAATGTATAAAAAAGACTTCATAGTGAAAAGCAAAAACAAAAAAGAAAGAAAAGAAAAAAAGGTGAAAGGACAAAAATTTGATGAGGAGATATGTGAGATTCTGAGTCCTTTCATGGACTGAATACGTCTTGAGTATACTAACCTTTCCTAGTCTCATTTTTGTCATTTATACAATGATGATGAAAGCAAATCTCTCAGAAGTTGTAGTAATTGGTTGAAGCAGAACATTACATACAAAAACATTTAGCAATATCCAGATTATAGTGCAATGAAAGCTATTACTGGTGTTATGGGTGGTATTATCATTATCATAATCATTGATATTATTATCGATATGTCAAGTGCTGTGTAACTTTGAAAAGTATGGGAGCCTGTGACATTCCTTAAATCCTTTCAATAAATTTAATTTAAAAAATTGCATACCAATCCTAGTTCTCCCTCTCTCACCTTCCCTTTCTCCGCCAACCTCTCCCCTTTCTGTATCCTCTCCATCCACTCCTCAGAGGAGGAAAGGCCTCCCCTGGGGAGTCAACAAAGTCTGACATACCAAGTTGAGGCAGGACAAAGGCCCTCCTCTGTGTATCAAGGCTGAGCAAGGTATCCCACCACAGGGAATGCACTCCAAAAAGCCAGTTCATGCACCTGGGATAGGTTCTGCCAGGGCCACCTCCAACAGATCAAGCCACATAACTGTCACCCACATTCAGAGGGTCAAATTCTGTCCCATGCAGGTTCCCAGATCCCAGCTGGTGGGAGCTCAAAGACTATGGACTGACAGCTGGGGGAACCTGCATTCCTCAAATCTTAAATGCCTGTTGTAAGTAGGAAGGGAGCATTGAAGTGACATGTCTACAAAATAACTACATTTTCTCATTCTCACATTTATCAATAAATGGAATTATAACAGTTGAATGGGATTCTCAATTGTAAAATTACCAAGCTTATGTGTTTTATTTTCCACTTGTCAGCTCATAATATATAGGTAAGAAAATGTTTGATAATTCATACTTGATACTCTGAACTCCTAAAAAAATCTCTTAAATTTTATTATAGAGAAAGCTTTTTTAACTTTTAAAATTCTTATTCAAATTTTTGATTAGTAATTTTAATGAAAAACTGAATCAAAATTTATCTATTTTTCCTATTCTCTTAAGATAAGCACTTACTGGTAGGTGACCAGCCAGACATTAATCACCTGCTCAGCTTTGTCTCTTCCTTGCTAATAGCACCCTCATTTCATACCTTCTTTCATGACCCCTTCCCAGCTACAGATGTTAGTTTCAATTTCCCCAAGGTAGAGATGCGAGCTAATTATCCTTGGCTTAAGGATATGCTTGTAAAAAATTTCTGAGCAGTGAAATAGATACATCAACATGTCAAAGTGCTCCATCATCAAGATGTACTACCGAATAACCAAGCCTAGGAATGACTAGCCTCTGGACTACTGATGAAATCAGTTGTGCCAATGCTCAAGTAACTCTGTGGGAGTACATGAGTACATGCTGTCACAGTATCCTAAATGACATATTAAATAAGCAGTCCACCTAGTTTATGTGAATGGTATGTTGGAATTACAACACGAAAAAAAAACTGAGTAAGGTTTAGATACACTGTTCTCAAACTTACAGATTACTTGAAAGAGTAGACTGAGGATTCCATACAAGGTTTGTGGAATCACAACAGAGTGTTATCTCCAGTTATGTAAGATGACATGTTACTCACCATGATTGGACCCCAAACTGGGGCCCATGTGTACACTGATAATGGGGGAAAACGTATTGGTGTTGTATTCATCATTATCATACCCAAGCTGAGATTTATGAGAGCAATCATAATTTGTACAACCTAGACACAAAAAAGTGAAAGATTATCCACCACAAAAATGATATCCATGCTAAGTACTATCAGACCACTAAGTTACCTTCATCTCCACCTGAATATTCACAGATGAATTTTGAAATATTATTCCCTTGTAAATAATTTTCATATACAGATGGGATATAATAACATAAAAATTTCCTTTGGAATCTCTCTTACACACACACACACACACACACACACACACACACGCCTACCCCCCCCATGCCACACACTTGTTTCAATAATTTCAAATTTAGAGAGGATTTCCAAAGTTCTTCCCAGAGGTGCTTTAATGATACCCATCACTAACACTATTTTATCCTTTGTCACATGCTTGCATATGAAAGACCCAGGAATTAGGAAGAAATTATTCTAACAAGAAGCAACTTGAAGAAACAAAATTAGATGCAGAGTGAAGAAAATATGGACAGCACACATGATCTTCTTTGGGGACTTGGAGTATGAGAAAGGAATGTGAATTTTGTGATCTAAAAATGGGGGGACTCCCATAATAAAGACGAAAGAAAACGAAAACAACTTGTGAAGATGTGTGGGAGGAAATGAGAACAGTGCTAGAAAGAAATGCATAGGGCTATAGAAAGAGATTGGAAGATAAATTACATATGTATGTATATATTTTCAAATGTATTATTTGTAGCAATAATATTTTAAGAAAAAGATATCATGACTATGAAAAGGAGTGGACAGCATGGGAGGGCTGGAAGAAAAGAGAGGAGGAAAAGCATATAATTCTATTTTAGTTAATTTTTCAATGAAAAAAGACAGATATAAACGGAGTTAGTTTTCCACACTTTAATTTGTGGGAATCCCCCCAAGGACAATAATTTGATCCGAAGGAAAAATAAACATAGAGTGAAAATCACTAGAATTCAAAACAGGCAATCAATGTAGAAAACTTACAAAACCTAGGTTAATTTCCCTTTAAAGAGAGATAAAAATCAATTTCTTGCTAGGCAAGATAACTAGAAAGACAAGTGATTAATACTATCAGAAACTGTGCAGGGAACAGCACTGTGGAAACCCAAAAGAAGAGGTCAACAAATCGAATATACTTAGAGGAATTACTTGAGAATACCACGTAACAAATCTCAGAAAAAGAAATAGCCACTATGAATGGTCTTATGTCACAAGATAGAACAATTGAAAGGAACTAATATTGTGTGATATCATTATGACTTCTTTTAATTAATACTTAAAGGAATTAATACTAGAACACAAAATGGTAACCTCAAAGCTCACAGCACTGGAGGAGTGTATACCTTTGTGTCCCCTTAATTTTTACTGTAAATGTAAAACTGCTGTTAATTTAAAAATTCCATGTGAATGTAAAACATGTATCACGAAAATGATCATTTCTCAAAATTTACAAGAATTAGAACAGTGGAGTAGAAAAGAAACAGGTGTCTGTCTAATGACAGCTGCCCAGTGGTGGGAAGGTTGGGCCAGTGAGTGAGTACCTTCTGCATTTAGTGACCTTCACCCTGCCTGGGATGTTATTTCTTGACGTTCATTCTCTCTTTCTCTTTTTAGGCACACTCTTCTGAAGACAGAAGCATGTGGAAAACACGGAATTTCTCATCATCTGACTAGCAGTGGGCAGGCCTGGGGTTGGACCACGATGGCAGCAGCTTGTGTAGCTTTTTGTCTGTGCTGAACTAGACATGATCATCTTGAATCATTCTCAGCCTAGAACACACCTGAAGTTTCTATGTTTTAAACATAGTTAAATTGAAAGTCTGATGCGATAGAATAACATATTCATTTTCAAATGATAGATTTGAAAATCAAATGCTAGTGACCCAGAGATGGGTTGATGGACCATGAGGCTAGCGGGACAGAGTACTGATGTTAGCTTTTTTATTTTTTACCCGTTTGGATACTTACAAAATCATTCTCCCCTCAGATGCAAAAGAAATGTCTTACCCCGAGGACTTTGGGTTCCCCCTTCAAGAATTTCTCTGCGTTCTCTTTCCACAGCTGTGACCTTACAACAGACCCCTCCGAAGTCTGAGCACCTTCAGGGGTCACATTTGTGGTTGTCTGTTCTATTCCTTGCATAGTTGTCATGACAGCAGAAACAGTGCTGAAACAAGAGTGCAATTTTGGATGTACTCCTTGAAATGACTCAATGCCAGGTTCCTGCCTTAAGGGTAAATTCCAAACAAAATCCTCTTATGACACAATAACAATTTTAGCTCAGGTAATCTACACAAATAGTTTGAATCTCTTGGTAAGAGAAGCTCTTCTCTTGTTGTTTTCTTAGCCTTAGTTTGAATGCAGTGTTTTCTTTAGATAGCCATGATTCAAATCAGTTGTTGTAGCATTTGTACAAGTTGACTTCATTTTGAGGAGGTTTTCTCCCCAGCTCCCTGTCTGCTCTGCCACAACAAAGAAATCCACCACTCTTCTCACTTGTTCTCTGGTTTCTAGCAGATACAACTTCTCCCTGCCTGCACACTACTCAACCTGCAAGGCCAGAGAGGATTCAAGCAGCCTTTGGTACTTCCTTTTTATGCTCCAGAAGGCAAAGGTATTCTTAAGGAAATGCAAGGTGAAGGTTGTAGTCTGCTCCAATGCATGACTCATTCACTTTTTACAAAGGGCCTTTGACATGCCTCTCAGAAATACCTTCAGACCTCTGGGTATACTGACTTCCTTGGTTGTCTATTAACATTCCCCTCGTTGAGTCGATTACTAAAGAGGAAGAATAAAGAGAAGAATCTAAAGAGTGAGCCTCTCTTTTGTTAAATGGAAAACACACACACACACACACACGCCTAAATATCAACAGTTTTCTGGTAATTGATGTGATCAAGAAATGAAACATGAACAGGGAAAAGCCTGGCCTGAGATCTGATAACTTCGCTCTTTCATTAAGATGTGAATTTCTGGTTATTAACAGTCTCTGGATTACTTGACTGTGCCTGTGCACTGGGCACAATTGTTTCCAATCTTCTTTGTAATCTTCACACTGCTAAAACTCTGCTCAGTGTCTTCCATAAGTAAACATCTGCATCAGCCACATCAGTTCATGGCCTGTGTCCCCTAAAGGAAGCCAGAGATGCTTGGAGACCTAGTCCAGGTCACAGTCAATCTCAGGAGCAGACTAAGCACATCAGACTGGGTGCTCTGACTCCAACCTCTGCATCTCCACCAAATTCTGCATGGAACAGATACTGTCTTAACTGATGGATTTTTCAAGATATATATAGGAGATAGAGGTGAATATTATGGAAGAAGGTTTATTGCGGGTGTGAAATGATCAGTCAATAATTTAAATATTGCTTTCAGGTTTTTGATACTCTGGGGCTAGAGAAATAATAGAAAATAAAACAACCTCACACAGTGCCCAGGTGGGACCTTTGTCTTTTCTTTTACTTTCTTTATTTTTAAAATGCCATTATTTTATTTTTGAGTATTTTATACTTTAGTTTTGTATTTACATAATTTACACCTCACCCTCTCCTCCCTCCAACTTTTTCTGTGTTCCCCCACTCTCTTTCATATTCATGACCTCTTTTTATGTTATTATTGCTGTATTTGCATGATTATATATAATACATATCAATATATAATATGGATATACATATATATATAAACATACAATCTGTGGGGTCCATTTAGTATTGCTCATATGTATATTGTTTAGGGATAACCACCTAGGAGTGAATAACCCATCAGGGAACTCATTGTTGGAGAAGACTGATTCTTCCTCTTTTAACAGCCAGTAATTGACTGGATGGTAGTGCCACACGCCTTTAATCCCAGCACTTGGGAGGCAGATGCAGGCAGATCTCAGTGAGTTCAAGGCCAACCTGGTCTACAAAATGAGTTCCACGACAGCCATGAGTACACAGAGAAACCCTGTTTCAAAAAAACAAAAAATAGCCAGTAATTGTCTGTAGTTCTTCATTTAAGGGTGAACATGGCAAGATGTCCTCAAGGGTACAATAGTGGCCCTTATACCTTTGGGGTAGACAAGAGCTGTTTAAATGGACTTACAGAATACTCAATGGGAGAAAATTCATGCCTGGTACTGTAAACCTAGACACCTACATGTGGCTGGTGAGGCCATAGACCCTGGAGGACAAAATATGGCTGCCACTTTACCAACCTTTTGTCTTTATTTATTTATTTATTTTGGTGTGGAATAGGCCTATAATCTCAATATTTACAAGGTAGAGGCAGGAGGATTGTTTTAGGGCAGTCCCAGTAGAAAATTGAACCTAGCCTCAGTTACATAAGATTTGTCAACAATACAAAACAACAAAAACAAAACTAACTAACCAACCACCAAAAAAACACCATCAAAATAACAAGTAACCAAACAGGTGTGCACTATGTTTAGGATGTCTCGTGTCCCTATTTTCTACCATGGAACAGATTGGAATGACTTTGTCCTCCAAGTGAAAGTAGACAGTAGGTTGGAGGCAGACATTTAGGCTGGCTAGGATTCAGTGAACCAGTCTCCTTGGAGCTTTTGCTGAGAACAGAATGCTCTGAGCACATGTCAAATGGTCACTGTCTACCTCCCCAGGACAAAGCAGAAGGGAATGTTCCTCAGATCTCTACAGTGAGAATATTACATAAATATACATTAAGTATCTATCTACATGTATAAACGAAATGCACATATATATGGAATGTTGCAGATAAAAAAATAGAATGAATATGACAAAAAGTGTTAAAGTAACTCACAGAACAGTATGAAAAGTTACATTCCAGAAGTGGAAATCTGCAGTAAATAGGCCTGCAGAAGTCAGAAGAGAACCCCTGGGAACTGAGGTTATGGATGGTTGGGGTTATTGGGAATCAAACCTGGGTCCTTTGCAAGAGCAACAAGAGCTTCTTTCTTTATCCTTATTCTTTGCATTAAAAATTGCCTCCTCAGCTACATTTAAATGTGCGCTCAACTCCAAATCAAAATACTAGTATATATAGTGAAAGGTAATCTCATTTTTTGCATCTAGATGTCCCATTTTCATCCAGTAAAAGTCATCATGTAGAAAGCCTAGGGAGTCAAATCCCTGCACCTACCTTCTTCCAGCCTGCAATGCCTGCGTCTGTGTCTGCTGAAGGCCAGGCTCGAGGAAAGCACCTCAGTCTTTGTACAGATCTAGTGCCCACACCACATGCAACGCCTCACTCAGCTGAAATCTGCGTGTTGTTTCTATCACCTTTCTAGATCATAAACGCTGTAGTATGAATTTCTGAAAAGCCCAACCACTTCCTTTCTTGTTTCTATAACTACTTCCTTTCTTGTTTCTATAAAAATGGTTAACTTTCTATTTCTCAACTAGGGTGTCTATATTACTGTAACATACACTCAAAAACAAACAGTTTTTATTTTCCACAAGAAATTATTAATGTTTATTGTGGTGGTAAGTATGAAGACTTACTCTTTGTAAAACTCTGTCAAAGGAATATAAACAAAATGCTATGCTATGATACATGAAAATATTTTATGATCCATTACTTTGTCTATTAAAATTAATAAAAAGCAAAACACAAACTAAATAAAACAGATATACCAGAATATAAAAAATATACAATTTTAAAGACAACATAGTCAGGCTAATGTCATTTAGATGGCCTCTCAAAATCTATTTGCAAGCATTTACACATTGCTGTTACTGTGTTTTTCTGTTTACATAGAATTTAAATGTGCTAAGTGCTTATGAAATTCCACTTTTGTTGTCGGATAAAGGTATTTCAAAGTAGAATTGATGTATAGGTATATTGGCAAAGCTCTATCCTCTGCAGGGATAACAAAACATCTGGATAAGTTTTTCTATTGGTTGAAATACTGACAAAGGTATTAAGAACATAAATTTGTAATCTAAACTCATATGGAAATACCTAAGAGTATATCTTTACTAGTGTCTTGAAACTATAATCAGATCGCCAAGGATTCCATGACCGTTTGGGGGCTATTTTGATTTTTGTGTAATCTAAATTTATTTTTTGCATTTCATACATCAGTATTGCATTTACATTACTTCCATTCCTTCTATCCCCATTCCGAATCCTTTCATGTCCCTCCCATGCCCTCTCAAATTGGGACTTCTTTAATTATTGTGAACACACACATTATTATACACATACACATAGAGATTCATCCACCTGTCCCTGCTTCCTGAGTACTGGTATTAAAGGCATGCACCACTATCACCTGGCAAGATATATACTTTTTGTTCTTGATTTGATTTTTATGTCAGAATATACTATTTACTCATTCATATGTATATTATAATTAAAATATAATTACATTATTTTTCCTCTTCTCCTCCCAACCCCTTCCATGACCTTTCTCTTGCTGCCCCTCATTCTCTAATTCATGTTGTCTTTTCTTTGATAATTATTTTTGTAACAATATAACATACATATATAAACATGATGTGTCAAATCCATTTAGTGTTGCTGGTATGTGTATAATTTCAGGACTGACCACTAAGTGTTAGATAACCAATTAGGGGCCCCTCCCTGGGAAAAACTAATTCTCCCTCTGTTGTCAGTCATCAGTTGCCTTCCCTTGCTTTGTTATGGGTGGTGGCTTGTGTGCCTCTTCCCAGTCAGTGCTGGAATGTTGACAGGTTTGATCTCATGTAGGTCTTAGGCAGGCAATCTCAGTTGCTGTGAGCTCATGTATGCTACAACCCTGTCACGTCTAGAAGGCTCTATTTTGCCTCAGTTCTCCCAGATGTCTGGTTCTCATCGTCTCCTGCTTCCACAATGTTTCCTGAGCCTTGGTGGGAGGGAGTGTGATAAAGATGTTCCATTTGCAGCTGGGCACCACTGGAGACACTTGCTGTCTGTACTTTGACTGACTTTGAGTCTCTAGATTAGGCACCATCCACTGCACAAAGATGGAGAGAGGGAAATAGAAGGACTGTGAAAGCAGAGTGGGAGCTGTGGGGAGAGCTGGGCGGGGTCAGGGGACAGGGGAGGAGCAGTGAGAAAGATAAATGAGAACCAAGTATGTGTGAAAGTGCCACACAAAGCCCATTACCTTATATGCTAACTTTTTAAATGTATAAAATAAACTTTTGAGGTGCAACATGTGACAACCAAAGTACTAGCTATTTTACCTGTGTTCTGTCAAATAATTACTAGAGGTCAGTGGTCTAGATTCTTAGTCATCTCCTGAAGATGTGTGAGGCACAGGGAGATTTTGCTGTATTTCTGTTGTTTTCAGGGGCATAAGAGAGAAAGAGGGGAATCTCAAGATGAAAACTCGTGGTGTGATGTACTGGAAACCCCTGATTCTATTCTATTTTCTATATTTCCTAACCTTAGAGCTTAGGTTGTTTTCTCTAGTATCACATCTGACTTAGCAGGTAGCATGTGGATGCAATGGTTTCTAACTTGTTTCTTCTGTAATCAAAACTCAAACACACTTAATGCATAACTAATAAATATATCTAGTAATATTCTGACATAACATGGCATCAGAAAGGAATTTAATTAGGTATCTTCCTGCTTAGTAGGAAGACAAGTGAGGGAGAGATAAAAATAAATCTTATCTATATGTCCTGATGTACACTCACTTGGACATGGGCATACATTGACCTTGATATTTTGTGCTACATTTTTATGGCATACAAAAGAAGTATTTTCATACTTCTTGAAGGAAAAAAACACATCCTCAAATCTTCAAATCTGTTGCTTAAAAAAAAACAAACCAAAGTTAGAAAAACAGGAGGAACATTAGACAAAGTAGCAGAAATGTGTAGTCAGTGTGAAAACCTAGTGTGATTAAAATCATTTCACCCATTTACTTTAAAACCAACTTTGCTGATTTAAAGCACTTTTAGGTTGTCTAAAGTATGAATAAAACATGTGCAAATGCTATTTAGCTAGTAAATGGATGGCATATTTATTCCTTTATAATCTTATGAAGAGCCAGAGGAATGATCTGTCAAGTTCTTGGGGAGACATGAGCACGTCATTGGAAACCTACACACACACACACACACACACACACACACACACACACACACACACACACACACACAGGTATCCACATCAGAGTTGGAGTCTTGTGCTTCCCCGTGTGTGGTTCTTGAAAAAAATCAACACAGATTTCCTGGAACATTCTTTTCTTGGTGTGCCGGCGATACCAAACCTCCTTAAAGTGATATAGGATATGCTGTTTCTTTCATGGGAGGACTTGATGGCATAATTATCACCACCTGTAAAGTCAATCAGATGTTATTACATTATTGAGATACCCTCAGGCCTTCCTTTCTTTACCCACGTATTGTTATCATCACCAGTGCTGACCCTGTCTCTACAGAATTGAATCTCACATCCATCTGATGTACTTCCCAGGCATCCCTTAGGTCAGGCTATATCTAGGACACACACTCAGTTGTAGAATTTTACCCTTTAGGAACTTCTGGCTGCTGCTGAGTCTTAAAGTGGAACAGTATGATGTGTAAATGAGAGTACCCATGAGTTTGCTTTAAATGATGTTTTATAGAAAATACAAAGTTCTTTTCCCAAACTAATTTGCTGATGGCAGCAGGATACACAAATCATGACTTGGTTGCCATACATAAAGCACCGATAACCGGACTGGCCCAGAGAGTCAGGAAGCACACCGAAAGCATAAGCAAGTCTCACCCTTGTTCTGCCAAGGCATCTGACATAGAGTTTGACAGGAATAGCTGAATATTCCAGAGATTATTAGACTGGCATTGTATGTTACTTGTCATTGCAAGTCTAGACTCAGAGAACTTGGGAGCGATGCTTCTCAGCTTTACTGCCATTATAGTGGTCACAAGAAGCACAGACTTCCAAATAGTTGGTACTAAGGTCTGAAAGGTATGAAGGAATTTGCCTATGCCCAAATGCTTCATCACTCAGTGAAATCACAAAATCTCCAGTGATACCCAAGAAACTTACAACTCTAGGACCTGAAATTTCAAACCCATTATACACTTCTCTGTGATCTAGTCCAATGTGCTTCTTTAAGCTGAGCCTGTGGAGATGTAGATGTGGTGTTTCCTGCGAGCTCCCAGAAAGAGGAACAGAAAGATATAGGCGAGAACCCAGTGATCTCATCATTTTATTATCACCTTATTGTTGGCTGTGAGTCCTGTCCATCCCTGGGCATATGGGCAATGAGACTATTGAGCAGCTATGGGGTTTTACTAGCTACTAACTCACTTTAGAGCCCTCAATATTTAAAGAACACAATGGTCATACTATTGTCCTTGTCTACTTCTGTCTCTATTCCCATTACCCACTCTTTGAGATCACCTTTCTGAACAGAATCCAGAAGGATCTGCTACAAGTATCAGGGTAAGCCAATGCCCAGGTGGGTACCAAGTGACAGACAGGTCTTATTCCCAATGTTTCTTTGTAGCCAGAGAAGGATGCTATGATAAAAGAGTGAAGTAAATCTGGTACCCTCTGTGGACTTCTAAGATGTGAACTGTTCTCTGGTCTGGACTCTATGGGGTTTTCACTTGCAAGAAAAAAATGGTAAAACCATACTATGTAAAACAGAATGTAAAACTAAAATCCTGGATGTCTCTCAGTGACCCTCTCCTTAAGTGTGGATGAGACCTGAGAATAGAACAGCATATTAGTCCTGTGAATAGGCCATATATCAGTTGACTTTGAGCTAATTAACAATACTCTAGAACCTGTTCAACTTGTGTGAACCAAAAGAACTCAAAACATCCATTCCCTTGGTATCTTTAAAGAAGTGACTGTCCTACTTTCTATACTTAAGAGGATGTGAATTGTGCCCCGTGACTATACAAGAGAAGCTTGAAGCTTTGACAATTCAGAGGATCCCACAGATCATTCAACTGCACAAACATTATCCTGGTGAGTCCTTGAATAGAAAACTCAGGTAAACTGTGCCCATACACCACCAATGGGAGCTGAGAGGTGATGAGTGAGAATCGTGTTGAGCTTTTTTGTTTGTGTGGCTTACTACAGAGTAACAGAAAACATGAAAAGACATATTCAAATGAAAGCCAAAACTTACCCCACCAGGGTTACAGCACATCACTCTGCATCCAAAGGCAGAGAGAGACACACCAATGCAGAACTCCAGCACACTTAAAATGACCACCACAATATCCAGACCCTGTCAACAAATCACAATGCAAGCATGTGAGGAGTGGGGGTCACACATTCCAAACATTTCTACACTGAAAGAGTGTAGGCACTGGCCAAA